GAAACATAGAAAATCGACAATATCTTCCACTTGATTGAGGGTCATTTGAAATTACGCTTCCAGTCTCTTTAAGATGTATTTCCGCTTCAACAAGAATACAACTGATCAGAAGTGAAAAGGAAGGTTTAATCCCTGGACATGAAGCCTACATAAACTTATCTTATTTAAGTTCAGAAGAAAATTTGCCAAAAAAAGAAAAGAATTTAGAAAAGATTTAATATTTTTCCTTTAATCTTAGAAAATCCAAAAGATTTTCTCTGAAAATAATATTTGATAAAAGTTTCAACTTCTTTTGATATCTTGGAAATAACTCAAACAGAAGGACTCATCACAAAAACTTTCTATTGTTGGATCTGAGAAGTAGGGAAATGTAATTCTGTTGGGAAAGTTTCAATGGGATTACTTCAAAATTATCTTTTTAAAAAGAAATGTTAAAAAATTTTAAAACGTAGAAACAATACCTAAAATGCATTTGATCATTAATAAATAAAACACAAAAATGGGAGTAAATAAATTGTTTTTATCTTCTATATCCCCAGAGTTGGATTCTAAATCTTCCTTTGTTATTTTCTCTGTATCCTGGCAGAGGCATGAAAAGCCCTTTTCCGTTTAGTGTTCTGAGCAAAATAAATGGTGTGTAGAGTATAAAGAGTATATCTTAGAGAATACTTATACACTGCTCCACTCCATACCTAGTTCTTATACTGGTATACTAGAATAGAATATACAGGAATACTGATATACCAGACTAGAATATACAGGAATACTGGTATATACCAGACTAGAATATACAGGAATACTGGTATATACCAGACTAGAATATACAGGAATACTGGTACATACCAGACTAGAATATACAGGAATACTGGTATTTACCAGACTAGAATATACAGGAATACTAATATATATCAGACTAAATATTCAGGAATACTGGTATATACCAGACTAGAATATACAGGAATACTGGTATATACCAGACAAGAATATACAGGAATGATAGTATATACCAGACTAAAATATACAGAAATTCCGGTATATACAAGACTAAAATATACAGGAATACTGGTATATACCAGACTAGAATATACAAGAATACTGGAATACCAGACTGGAATATACTAGAATACAGGAATACATGAATACTAGTTCCCCGGTTCCCTGGTTCCTTGGTTCCCTGATTCTCTGGTTCTCTGGTTCCCTGGTTCTCTGGTTCTCTGGCTCCCTGATTCTCCAGTCCTCTGGTTCTGTGCTTCTCTGGTTTTCTGGTTACCTAGTTCTCTGGTTCTCTGGTTCCCTAGTTCTTTGGTTCTTTGGTTCCCTAGTTCTCTGGTTCTCTGGTTCTCTGGTTCTCTGGTTCTCTGGTTTTCTGGTTCTCTGGTTCTCTGGATCTATGGTACTCTGGTTTTCTGTTCTCCTGGTTCCCTGGTTCAGTGGTTTATTTACCTGTGAGTTATAAATATCTAGATAGATAGATAGTCGTATATGTGTACACGTATATGTATATGCAGGTAGATCAGTATAGTTCCACTTATTCCGTTGCTTCAGAAACTACTTTATTTTAAGAAATTAAAGGAATTGTTCAAATATTTTGGAGAATGATTTAGATATTTTTGAAAAACATAAACAGGAATATGTACTTCTGTCATCATAAAGGGTTTGTTGACAAAATATCAAGTTAATAGAGTCGCATGTCTGATTCATAACCCTTTAAACCTCTGCCTGATCGAGATAGCAACGTTTTCTATACAGGGTGTCCCAAAAAACATGGGAATTCAGTGACGAATTCGATATTGTCTTTGTTATGAATTAGCATTGTAATTCCTAATTTCAAAAGCCATAATATTGTTATGCCTGCTAGAGTTTATTTTAAGAAAAGGGTAAAAGCCTGTAAAGATGTGTCTATAATGTCTCCGCAAGATGAACAGTGAAGACGGACAAGTTTACTCTGTCTGTATACTGCAATTTTCTTGTTTTTTTAAGTACACCCTTATATAGTCAAAACATAAACAAACAAAATGTGAACATTGCAGACGAAACTCTCACAGATTACAGCTTTCTCAGTAGGTATCACTATACTAAATCAAAGAATTATTTAAAAAGACGATATCGAATTCGTCACTGAATTCCCATGTTTATTGGGGCACCCTGTAGTTAAAAAGGTGATTTGTGGATATCTGCTGCTAAAACAATGGAAGCTGTCAGAATTGAAAACTTTTTATCTCAGATAATGGGGTAACCAACATGAAATTAGAGCACAGCCCTAATATTATTTTTTTTCAATTCCCTTACAAATCTGAATAATTCAAAATCAAATGGAGCCATGATAAACATGATTAAGTGTATACATTACTGTTTAATTTCAGTATAACTATCCCTGGCCAAGGCCAAAATATCTGAACAAACTCTCTAAGAAGAATGAAAAGTAAAGAAAGAAATCAAATAACTCAAGTCTATATGTGAATTGTGAACATTGAACAAGTATTTTCTCTAAAAGTTGAGAGACACAAACAAAGAAAAAGTAATTTAGAGAAAGTGGTAAAATGTTGTTGAACAGTTGTCTGGTTTACATCTTTATTTTCCCCCTCATTTGGGGGAAAATTACGCAGATTAGGGGCAGAAAATGCGAAGATGAATTTTCAAGTAAACAGATAAAAAATAGAAACATAATTTATCAGAAAAGCTTTCAGCTGGACAATGTACATTATTAATGCCAAACTCTGTACGGTGTACATGAATAATGTTTTCTGGTTCACCTTGTACAGTCTACATAATTAATGTATTTTAAATCCATTGTACATTGTACAATACATAATTTATGTATTCTAAATCCCCATGTACATTCTACAATACAGAATTAATGTATTCTTGATCACACTGTACAGTGTTCATGGTTAATGTATTCTGTTTCACCCTGTACATGATTAATGTATTCTAAATCCCCCTGTACATTGTACAATACAGAATTAATGTATTCTAAATCCCCTTGTACATTGTACAATACATAATGAATGTATTCTAAATCCCCCTGTACATTGTTCAATACAGAATTAATGTATTCTAAATTCCCCTGTACATTGTACAATACATATTTAATGTATTTTAAATCCCCCTGTACATTTTACAATAAATAATTAATGTATTCTAAATCCCCCTGTACATTGTACAATACATAATTACTGTATTCTAAATCCCCATGTACATTGTATAATACAGAATTAATGTATTCAAAATCCCCCTGTACATTGTACAATACATAATTACTGTATTCTAAATCCCCATGTACATTGTATAATACAGAATTAATGTATTCTAAATCCACTTGTACATTGTACAATACATAATTACTGTATTCTAAATCCCTATGTACATTGTATAATACAGAATTAATGTACTCTAAATCCCCCTGTACATTGTACAATACAGAATTAATGTATTCTAAATCCCCCTGTACTTTGTACAATACAGAATGAATGTATTCTAAATCCCCATGTACATTTTACAACACAGAATTTATGTATTCTAAATCCCCCTGTACATTGTACAATACAGAATTAATGTAATCTAAATCCCCATGTAAATTGTACAATACAGAATTATCAACCTGACATAATAAAAATATCTAGATTGTATGAGCAGAGCTCGGAGAGGGGATTGCTCTGGAGGATCTGAAAATAATATCAAACTAGGAATTTGAACTTTTTAAATTTGTTTTTCTTAATGTTTTCACATTACACTAAGGTTTTGTTAACTTACAAGCTTTAAAAAAGAACATCTTTTCATAATTATTTTTATCAGAAAAAATCCATTTATGAAACCACATGCATGTTTTCTTTATTTTTCTAGGATGAAAAATAAAATAAAAAGTTGCAAAACCAGTAGTTTCCCTTAAAATTAATGTCTTCCATATGTAAGGATTTGAAAGTTCTACATTTATTTTTGCATTTAAAAATTTCAAACTATTTGAAAAATTGGAATTTCTATTTTTGTACATGTGTATTGTGTATGGCGGCTAAGTCTACAAAGGACCTGATCATTCGCAAAAAAACCTTTGGCGAAAACCTTTGATATTTCAAATTTTCACTATTTATGTAACAGAATTCATAGATTGAAGCATTAAAAGTTGCACAAAGGAATTAAGTCTTTGGAACAAAATCAAATATTTAAACCTCAATATCTTTAGAACTCGATGTTGTAAACCTTTGATATTTCAAACTCAGATTATTTGATCTAACAGAATTCATAGTTTGAAATATCTAAGGTCTACAACATTTGGTTCAAAGATATAGTGATTATAAAATCAGAATTTGTGGCAAAGACTCAATTTCTTTAAGTATAACAAAATTAGAGTTTTGGTTTATTTTCTTTAGATTTTAGAACATGGATTGGTTCGTCATTGTCAAAAGCACAACTAAAACAAATTGTTTTTTGATTCGCCCCATGTTTCTCCCTGTTTAAAGAAAATTGTTAAGTTATTGAGATGTTAACCTACTGCAGAGCAAGCTGTAACCTGCAATATATTAACCAGGTTGGAAATATTGATAAAGATATCATTTATTTAGAGCAACTGTGGCATGGAAATTAAAACATTTATCTGATTATACCGATTATACCGTTATTCTAATTTAAAGGAGATTGAATTGGTAATTTCCTTCAATGTTTCTGCTGCATAAATCTGCAGGTTACTTAGATAAACAAACAGTAAAGAAATTTATCAATTTGAAGAGAGAAAGAAGGATATTTTTCACAAACGCTTTTTTAAAGGGGTTGCGCTGTATTACCCTATTAATGTGAGGTCACTTTAATCTACGTCTACAGTATCTTTAAAGTGTGTTTTTTTTCAGACTATTCCTGAGATAATCAATAGATTTGGAGGACTTGATGATTCGATAGGAAAATCGAGATTTATCAAATTTAAAGAAAAATCATTTTATTGCATTTTTTTTTACTTTTTCCTTTTATCAAGAATTGTCATACTGCTTTTTATAAATGATTTTTAGAGGACACATTAGCACATACAATACATATTTGTGATCTGGGAGATGGTATAGATAGCAGCTTCAGGTAAACTCAGGTAGTTTCAGGTAGTTTTCAGGTAGTTTTCAGGTAGTTTTCAGGTAGTTTTCAGGTAGCTTTCAGGTAGTTTTCAGGTAGTTTTGAAGTAGTTTTCAGGTAGTTTTCAGATGGTTACGAGTAGTTTCAAGTAGCTTCAAGTAGTTTTCCGGTGATTTTTATATAATTTAATATAGTTTCAGGTAGTTTTCAGGTGGTTACAAGTAGTTTCAGGTAGTTTTCAAGTGGTTTCCAAGTAATTTCAGATTGCTTTAAGTAGTTTCAGGTAGTTTTTAGGAGGTTTTCAAGCAATTGTAGATAGATAGGTTCAGGTAGTATCAGGTAGTTTCCAGTTGGTTTTCAGGAAGGTTTTAGGTAGTTTCAGATATTTACAAATAGTTTCAGGTAGTTTCAGGTAGTTGCAAATAGTTACAAGTAGTTACAAGTAGGTTCAGGTAGCTTTAATGTGGTTTTCATGTAATTTAAGATAATTTTCATATTTCGGTAGTTTCAGGTAGATCCAGGTAGTTACAGGTAGTTTCAGGTAGCTTCCGGTAGTTTAAAGGAGGTTTTTATAAATTGCAAAATAATTTCAGGTAGTTTCAGGTAGTTTCAGGTATTTTTTAGGTAGATTCAGGTAGTTTTCAGATAGTTCTACGTAGTTTTAGATAGTTTTAGGCAGATTCGGGAAGAATAAGGTATTTATAGGCAGTTTTCGTTGGTTTCAGGGAGTTTTCAGGTATCCACGTGGTTTTACCTTGTTGTAGTAAGGTAGTTTTAGGTAGTTTTTAGGCAGAATAAGGTAGTTTCACACGATTTTGTTATTTAGAAGTTCTTTGCTTGAACATCAGTTCATCAACAAAATACAGCCTTCGTGGGTTCCTGCTCTTCATCCAATAGGTTTGCTCGTTTCTAGATTTTCATCCAACAGGTTTTTTTTCTAGATTTTCATCCAACAGGTTTTTTTTCTAGATTTTCATCCAATAAGTTTGCTCTTTTCTTTATTTTTATCTAGTTTATTTACTCTTTTCTTTATTTTTATCTAGTTGATTTACTCTTTTCTTTATTTTTATCTAGTTGATTTACTCTTTTCTTTATTTTTATCTAGTAGGTTTACTCTTTTCTTTACTTTTATCTAGGTAATCTACTTTTTTCTGTATGGCTATCTAGTAGATTTACTCTTTTCTTTATTTGAGAACGAAGAGAAGGATGATAAAGATAAGATGTATGAGAAGGATAAGAAGGATAAAAGGATGAGAAAGATAAGAAAGACGAGAAGGATAAAATGGATGAGAAGGATGAGAAAGAAGAGAAAGAAGAGAAGGATGCGAAAGATGAGAATGATGAAAAGGATTTGAAGGATGAGAAAGATGAGAGAAGGATAAAAAGCTTGAGAAAGAGAAGGATGAGAAAGATGTGAAGGATGAAAAAGATGAGAAGGATGAAAAAGATGAGAAGGATGTGATAGATGAGAAGGATAAGAAAGATGAGAAGAATAAGAAGGATGAGAAGTATGAGTAGAATGAGATGGAAGAGAAAGATGAGAAGGACGAAAAAAATAAGAGGAATGAGAAGGATGAGAAAGATGAGAAGAATAAGAAGGATGAGAAGTATGAGTAGGGTGAGAAGGATGAGAAGGATGAGAAGGATGAGAAGGATGAGAAGGATGAGAAGGATGAGAAGGATGAGAAGGATGAAAAGGATGAGAAGGATGAGAAGGATGAGAAGGATGAGAAGGTTAAAAGGATGAGAAGGATGAGATGGATGAGAAGGATGAGAAAGATGAGAAGGATGAGAAGGATGAGATGGAAGAGAAGGATAAGAAGGATGAGAAGAATAAGAAGAATGAGAAGGATGAGAAAGTTAAGAAGGATGAGAAGGATGAGAAGGGTAAGTAGGATGAGATGGAAGAGATAGATTAGAAGGATGAGAAGAATAAGAAGAATGAGAAGGATGAGAAAGATGAAGAGGATGAGAAAGATGGGAAAGATGAAAAGGATAAGGTTTAAGGACGGATATTGTTTTATTTTGTTTGATGAGAACTAGAACTGAGTTCCTGGAAGTTTCTAAGGTTTATAGATATTTATTGACAAGGGTTTCTAGTTTTCTAGATCATTGAACCGCAGATACTCAGATACTCAGATACTTAGATACTCAGACACTCAGATGCTCACGATGCTCACGATGCTCACGATGCTCAGATACTCAGATACTCATATACTCAGATACTCAGATACTCAGATACTCAGATACTCAGATACTCAGATACTCTGATACTCAGATACTCAGATACTCAGATACTCAGATACTCAGATACTCAGATACTCAGATACTCAGATACTCAGATACTCAGATACTCAGATACTCTCTCTGACCATATCCCTAGGGCCAGGTGCGAGGGGGGGGGATATGCGGGAAACAAAAAATCTATAATATTTCTTAAAAGGATTTTCTTTTCAAAAGGATGGTTGAAGAGTGAGATACCCCCAGCAGTACTAGGTATGCTAAACCTAGTGCGACTAGGACGGGAAGGAGGAGGTGGAGGTGGTGGAGGAGGAGATGGTTGGGGAGAACCTGAAGTTTGTATCCCGGAAATAAGCGTCTTCAATTGTCAGGTTAGATTTTTATATTTTCTGTGTGAACTCCCGGTTTTATTATGTTTAGTTTAGATGCTTGTTGACGACGGGAAAGAATGTAAATCCCAACATAATGAAAAGGTAAAGCAATAGTTCTCAGAGAACAGAGAACAGAGAACAGAGAACAGAGAACAGAGAACAGAGACCATAGAACAGAGAACAGAGAACAGAGAACAGAGAACAGAAAACAAAGAATAGAGAACAGAGAACGGTAAACACAGAACAGAGAACAGAGAACAGAGAACAGAGAACAGAGAACAGAGAACAGAGAACAGAGAGAAGACAACAGAGAACAGAGAACAGAGAACAGAGAACAGAAAACAGAGAACAGAGAACAAAGAACAGAGAACAGAGAACAGAGAACAGAAAACAGAGAACAGAGAACAGAGAACAGAGAACAGAGAACAGAGAACGGAGAACAGAGAACAGAGAACAGAAAACAGAAAACAGAAAACAGAGAACAGGGAACAGGGAACAGGGAACAGAAAACAGAAAACAGAGAACAGAGAAAAGAGAACAGAAAACAGAGAACAAAAAAAGAGAACGGAGAACAGAGAACGGAGAACAGAGAACAGAGAATAGAGAACAGAGAACAAAGAACGGAAAATAAGAAAAAGGTCGGATGTACATTTTTCAGGAGTTGATAAAAACAATAAATGCTGAACTGCAAGATACAATTCTTCAATCCTTGTTAGAAGAAGGGGAACAGTTTTCTGGACTTAGCCTCATAGGTGCGCATCAGAGTTTAGAATTAATTGATTTATTGATTAGTTTTATCATTTTATAATTTTGCAACACTGGTCCTGGCTTCATTTTCCTTTATTGGTAAAATTGCAGTTCTTTCAGCACCTCTCTTCTCTTAGAAAACACTATAAATATACTTTTTATTTTTCTTTATCTTCTAGAGCTTGGAACAAGCCAATTTCTTTTCTAAATTGAAACAAACAAACAACATTATTTGTTTATATTGAACGCACAAGAGAATTCAAGAATCCCATTGGATTATAAACTGTATCAAACATTTAAAAAACATTAAATGGAAGATTGTTTGACTAAACTTTTTATCCTTTAAATGTTTTCCAAACTCCGAGCCTCTGATATTGGAAAATGATAAAAAGTATATTTCTCAAATAAATGCATCCTTTCTATATTTCCGGGAAATGTAAAAAAATGTCGATGAAAATAATTAACCCGAGTTCATGAAGGAAAGTTTTCAATTTTTTCCCTATTTTGTAAAGACAGAATTAAGTTAGTGAGAGAGTGTGGTTTCAGGCAAAAACATTGTGATAGCATAAAATATCTTAAGTTTTAAATGTTTAAAAAGTCATCAAAACAAATCAGTTATAAAATCAGTAATATTTCTCAAAAAATGATAGATTGTGCTTAAATGGTCATAGGTTTCCGAAACCCAAGTTAGAAAGTTTTAATTGAATGAAATGTTCAGTTAATTTTCTCCTGGTTTAACTAAGCTCATATTTTAAAGTTTCCAACTCATGTTTCCCAACGATTAGAAGTTTTTATTTGCTATTATTAATTTCCAGGTACATCTGTGTACGGGATCCGACGGTACCGTGCGGGAGCCTGGTTGGCCAGCCATCTTGATCACATGGCAACACACGTGGTCTCCGCCATCTTAAACATTGCACAGAAAGGAAATTTTCAGAGATCATTGGACAAAGAAACAATTAAACATATTTTGTATTTCATGATTTCCGATGCTTTTAAAAATCAAATGACTCTAAATTAAGTGTACAGGTGAAGCATGGCCTCTTTTTATACAAGATAACACAGACAGTGGAAATATTAATCAAGTCCTTTTAAAGCCAGGTATAAATAAAGGGAGAGTGGGGAGGGGTAGTTTTTCTGGTTTATCAAAAAATGCCAAACGGGTTTATCAATGCATACAAGGGCGTATACAGGAATTTTCTCACTGATCCAGGGGGGGGGGGTACCTGAGTCCATTCCCCTTGATACTGAATGCAAAAGTTAAAAGATTACAATTTATCTTGTTATTGTAGAAAACAAAATCTTAATTATGATTTATAATTTATCTCTCCTATGTTTTAGGTGAAATGTTATGGTATGAATCTGCCAGACTAGTACATGGACGTCCTGTACCCTTCCAGGGAGAATATTACGATAATGTTTTTGTTCATTTTAAACCTAGGTAAATAGTTTAAAGTCAAAGAACCGTTTACTCCAAAATCACTATAATATATTCTTCATGGGTAGAACTTTTTTAGTTTAGTTTTTGTAATAGGCCTTTAAAATATACTCTCAGTGATTTCCAGTTCTAGTCATTCGTGTCATTTGTTGATAAACTTTTTTAATTTAAACTATTACTTAAAAATGGAATTTAATTTTAAAACATTAAATTCTGAATTAATATTAATATTATGTAAAGTGTACATAAAATAGCTAATTCTCACAGCAAATTCTTCTGTACATATAAGAGTTTATTCTGTACTGAAAAATATTTAAGTACACATAATAGCTAATCTTGTACTTTAAGTTATTCTGTACATATAACAGCCAAACTTGTACAGAAAAAAGATTCCTGTACATATGATAGCTAATCCTATCCACTAAATAATCCTGTACATGTCTAGTTAATTTTGCACTACAAACACTTATGTACATTTAACCCTATATCCTGTAGCAGTAGAACAACGGAATTGAACTGAAAATTAAACTTGGATGATTCTTGTATTTTGTTCTAAAGATATTTCGTGTGTTTCTATTTTCTATTTGTTTAGATTGAATTGTATTTATTGTAGAAGGAAATGGTATTGGACTGCTGCAAGGTGGGTTGAGGGGGAGAGACCAAATAAAAGAATACTTGTTCAAACTGATATCAAGGGAATCAAAGTTCTAAACCAAGTAAGAAGTTGATTCCTCGAGGTGAGCAGTTAACACAACTGCAGGTCGATACAGATCTACAGATGGAACATACAGGAGGACTCAAAAAGAATGATACTGTAATGACGAGGGGAAAATGTTTTAATAAAACAATAATAATTAAAGTAATTGAATCTTTGCCACAAACTTTGATTTTCTAATCCCTATATTTTTGCAACCTAATGTAGTACATCTTATTCAATAATTAGATAAGGAAAAACAAAGTTCACAACTGTAGGTAACCCAGAATGTCAGAAAAAAAAATTTCGTTCAGTCTTTTCTGAAATCCGACCCTGAATTTAGTTATCAGGTTCAAGAGATTTTATGTCACAACGAATATTTGATATGTAATAATCTAAATTCATGTAATGATGCATATATAACATGTGCCAATGTAAAAAGTACATTTCATATGTAACATTCTAAAATTTGCATGAGTGCATTTGATAATTTACACGTTGTAATAAGCTAAATATAGGTTTGTAGATATATATCATGTACCTAAAAAATGTACAATTGTTAAATACATGTGATGCATTGTGCAACGAAAATTGTTATTTTTATAAAAATTTAAAAAAATATTTTTTAAAAAGTTTTGTATCAAATCTATGTACTTTCTAAATTGTTCGAAACTGTATTTTTAGGCAATCAGAATCTGTGCTTATTATTGGTTAGAAACCCGTCTCTCTATTTTTATTCCCAAATATAACATTTCATATGTTCATCTACAATAATATAAAATTTTATCCTGGGATACAGTATAAATATTATTATTAGATATTCACTTATTTTTACAATCATATAAAAATAAAAATGAGAATTAAAATAGATACTCGAGTCTACGTGTATCATGTATGTATGTTTGTGTTTTTAAAATATTCAATTTTTTTTTTTTAAATGTAAACATGAATAACGTCAGCAATCAGTATATTTAAAAGCTAAATATATTTGTCAGCTCAGTATATCTACCAGTTCAGTATATCTATCAGTTCAGTATATCTACCAGTTCAGTATATCTATCAGTTTAGTATATCTATCAATTCAGTTTATTTGTCAGTTCAGTATATCTATTAGTTCAGTTTATTTGTCAGTTCAGTATATCTATCAGTTTAGTATATCTATCAGCTCAGTATGTCTATCAGCTCAGTATATCTTTCAGCTTAGTATATCTATCAGTTTAGTATATCTATCAGTTCAGTATATCTATTAGTTCAGTTTATTTGTCAGTTCAGTATATCTATCAGTTTAGTATATCTATCAGTTCGGTATATTTGTCAGTTCAGTTTATCTATCAGTTTAGTATATCTATCAGTTCTATATTTGTCAGTTCAGTTTATCTATCAGTTTAGTATATCTATCAGCTCAGTATATCTATCAGTTCAGTATATCTGTCAGCTAAGTATATCTATCAGTTCAGTATATCTATCAGCTGAGTCGGTATGTCTATCACAAATCTTGCAACCATTTGGTGGTAAACTCACATGACCTCTATGGTCGGATGGCCGATCGAAATTGAAAAACTGTTTGTTAGTTTCTGGAAGTTAAATGTAGAAGCTCTAAATGTTATTCGAAAAAAAAAC